ATCTCGGACTCGAGCCTCGCGACGCACTCGTCCACTGAGATGGAGGCACAGGTCAGGAAAAATCCCACCACTGAAGCGTTAAACTCTTGGGAAGGGAAGGGGGGCTGTCGGGCATGAAGGGATGGAAAACAAGACTTCCACTGCTCCATAAAGCTGCAATTAACACTTCTTCCAATTCAGGGTTGCAGAGGAATCTACCAAGCAAAGGGGCGCTAGGCAGGATACACCCTGGACAGGATTCTAGTCCATCGCAGGGCAGCCAGACAAGCACACACACCAGGGTCAGTTTCCCCAGAAGCCGATGACCCTACCAGTATGTCTTTGGCACTTTGGGAACAAGGGCACGCAGAGGACACCCACACAAGCACGAAGAGAATATGAACACTCCATGCAGATAGAAGCCCAGGGCAGGAATCTAACCCCGAGCCCCAGCGCTGCAAGGTTAACCACTGCGCCACTGTGTCGCCACTGTTCTTAACACTTTGGCAAAATATAGTACATCTTATTGTCCAAACAATATGAGTAGTTAAAAGCTGCTAACATAAGGTGATGAATGCCTGGCAACTTGACTGAATGACACACAGGAAATAGAAAGAATGCCTTTGCATCCTTGAAAGTGAGACTCTGTCTATTGATTGCAGGACATACTTTGAGGATGACCAATGCCCAGATGCGTCACAATCCCTCTCTCCCCCACATCCGTAAGGAAACCAACTTTTCATCTGCGGGCCGTCTGTTTTTTTACAGCTCGTCAGCGGTCATCACACAGAATCAGCAGTATTTCTGCACCCAGTGGTTAAAGGCTGGATACGGTGGACCTAGTGTCATGTGTGGGGCGTAGTGCTGTCCAAAATAAGAACTTCCAATTTTTAATTTCTGGATTTCTAAAAAGAAATATCTTTAGAGAGATCACTTAAAGCTGGGGATTTGATATAATTGGGTAGATGATTCATTCTGGTAGCTTTTGTTTTCCTGCGATATTTAAAACTGTACACCTCTCAACAAGCAGAATGGAGACAGAGGCAGAAATAAAGCTCTGGAAAAGTATCGGAACCGACCGAAAGTCCTTATTCTCCAAAGGCCTTTCCTTCTCAAAAAGACAAAAACAGGAAGGAAGCCATTAGTGACTGCTGAGAAACCCTACCTTCATTTAAAACACCACCGTCTATCATCTCCTCCTCACTGAAGTCAATGAAAGCTTCGGTATGAGCAAGACACTACAAAAAAAAACAAACAGTAGCACTGTTAACTGAGAAAACAAAAAGGCTTTGAATTTGTCCATCTCCCTCGCTGTGCATTAAAAGAGCTTTTCACAGCCGCTCTTTGAAACGCGAACAGCCAGCATATTAGTCCACTGCTCTCTCCTTTATTGAAAGAATTCCGTATTTGAATTTCTCTTAATGAAGGCTGCACTGCATTCTCTGTTTCTTACCAGTAGTTACGGGTGCAGAATACCTCCAATTCAATTTTAGGTAAGTAGATCCAGACCTATTGTTGGATCTCTCCGTTGAAACCTTATTTAAACTGAAGTTTCCCCAATTCACAGTATGTTTTTTGGGGGTGCAGTTAAAAGTAAAACAAGACAAAAACTTTAGAACCAGTATTGATTTTTTGAAAGATTTTGCAGTCAAGCTAATCTTTCTTGGATCAACAGTCATAAAACCACAATTTCAACATGGGAAAGAATTGAGGACTTTTTATGGCCCCTGTGAGTTACTCCCATGTCTGCAAGGAGCCCTGTATCTCACGCAAACAGTCCTGGTTTTTAATTCAGGGTAAAGGAAGCTGCTTATATTGTGTCTGCAGGAGCTGTCTGCGAATGTACTATACACAGAGCTTTCCTGAACAGCCCTTACCCCCACAGACTCTACAGCTCCGTGATCATACAGGACACAGAGAACTAACACTCACAAAAACCCAGCTGAGCCAGGACTGTACTCTATGGCACCCTCCATTCTGTAAAAACACAGATCCCAATGGCACTTTTCTATAGCAAAATTATTTTCACATGAAAAACTTTGTGAGGAAACTCTTTTGCCAAATGCCTGAATGAACATTTCTGATTGAGTGCACACCTTTTGAGAACTCGGTGGGTCTTGGGAATATATGCTCACAAGCACAGTTTTGGGCTGGTAATGGAAAGTCATCTGCATTTTGAACACAACTCTCACACAATGACAGTTGCGATGCATGATGTATGCATGTTTTAATATTGCTTTAGCTTTCATCTGGCATGTACTGTGACCGGCAGACTCATAGTGAAAGCAGATAAACAGGATTACATATTTCAACAAGAGGAAAAGGGAAATTTGAGGATTTGATGCTCCGTTTTGCCCAAACCCCCCCCAAAATTTCTTGAACGGCACATCAAAGTTGCGCAGGGCTGACCATGTCTGTTGCCTGGCCAGTCTCACACTGCATCCGGAATAAACTTGATGCGTCCTGGTCTGGCTGTTTGGGCCTGATAAAGTAGCCTTTTCTCAAGCGCCACACCAGGGGCCTGTGAACGTCAGCATTTATGGAAAGCGACTTTCACAAAAATAGAGCGCTTTATGGACGGGGTTTCCTCAGGAAAACCTGAATTAGCTCCTCATCTCATCTCCAGAGAGGGTTAGCATTTACGCAGTTTAACACCGCGCTCAGAGTGGCATCGCTCAGTACCCCTCACCCCCTCCCGGGTCACACATCGCCACAGAAGCAGGACATCCTGTCTCCTGCTCCCAACCTGGCTGCCTCCAGCAAGGCAGGGCCAGAAAAACCTCATTTTGAGAATCTGGTAGGTTTCAGTCTATGAAATAAGGATGTTACACTCCTAATTGCTCCAAAAAAAAGAGAGAAAACTCTCAACACAAGTCCCTAATTCTCCGACTGGTTATTAAATCTCGGTAACAGAACAAATTAATTGACAGTATCACAAAATTTGACAAATCCTGAATTAAGCACAAAAATCGTGAACTTTGTGTACGTACTGGATAGTCACCCAATCGCTGCAAACCACTGGTTTTGCCACAGGCAAGAGCAGGACTTTGTGTGAATGGCGATGTGAAGCGTAACTAATGTAACGAGTGTGATGTACAAGCGAACAAGTACAGGTGGTGCAGCAGACATTTCACTGCAGATGTTACCATGTGATCTGCATGCAGATTTAAAAAGAGAGTTAAAAAGCAAGTTGTATTTTTGCGGCAAAGCCGTCTTGAAGTTGAGAGCAGTATTTCTATTGGATTGAAAGGGATGCATTCACAAGCCTGCTTGTTTACAATATAATAAGGCCGCTTCGTGTCACTGGAAGTTTTCTTGCCTCGTTCTGAATCACAATTCACGAAAATGGTGCTGTGCATAACTTTAATCAATTTTGTGATGTAGATTGGAGGTTTTACACATTACTGTGTACGTCATTGTGGTTCGAAATGCACTCATCAATGCCGATCCTCTCTAAACCTGAAATATAAAAATAGTGCTGCAGTTTTAACAACCCGAACAGGAGCAGTTTTAGTCCTTTAACTGGTGCTCAGGAAAGATGGATTTCAAAGGGAAGAGAGGTACCAAAAGACAGTTGATGAAACTACATGGAGTCTAGACGGTTACGGTGTTTGTGTGGAAAACGCAGAGCCAGCCGAGCGGGCCAGACTGTGCGTCAGCACTGCATCACCCTGACGAGCTCCTGACTCCACGTCTGGTAGAGCCGGCCCAGCTCTCCCGCCATCTGCCTGAGAGCCTGCCTCCTCTGGGCCTCGGTCTCCGCGTGAATCAGGTCCCCAAGCCCCTCCACCTCCGTCAGGTCCAGCTTGCCCGCGTGAAAGGCTCGCCTGGTGAACTCCCCAGCCTCTGCGGGGCGCAGGCCCGGAAGGCTGCCTGAAAAAAACACAGCCGGGCCGAGTCAAAGCGGGACTAACCTAGCTGACCTAATAGTGGGAGACCAAACTGCTTCCTGGAAGGGATTCAGCAGTGACACACAGCTGTACGTGCAAGAAGAAACACCAGACTGACTAATCCCACTAATGAGAGAGCTGTGGACTACGTGTCCCGCACAGAAACTCATTGCCTTGTGGAATTTCAGCATCCCAAACTACTTTACTGTCAAAGTACACCACCTATCTGTGCAACTACTGAACAGTTCTCCAGTTCAGCACTTGTGCACTCAAACTATTTATGCTAGAAGGTTTGTCCAGCTGCGCCCTCTAGCATGAATATCTTAAAACAGCATCCTAGGAGTGTTCAATACTATGCATGCGGGTATCGATTATCTGAATGCAGGACCATTCACTAGAATCCTCTCCAGTGCACCCATATGACTCTAGAATTAGAGGATTGTAAATGCAACTGAAGTGCTCATTTGACAGCACTACTGTACAATATGTAATGTAATACAATATAGAATAAGTTTCCATATCCGTTTATTTTGTGGTGCAAAAACAGCGGCTCCCCCTTCTGCTATATCTCCTATTATCTGTTTTGTCTTTTTCTCCATAAGATTTTTATAGAGCTCAAAGACAGTCATCTGGCTATTGTCAATAACTCTCCGGGCCTGTGTGGGAGCTGGGGTGAGCTGTGGGGTGCGGAGATCAAGCTTGGTGCTCAGCAGGGCTCAAGAGGTGAAGGTAGGAGTGGCTCGACAAACGCTCTGAAACGTTGGGCACCCTGCTGGACGCCCTGTCCAGCTGCTTGTTCTTCTGCTTTCCTTACCTAGAGCTTGTAGGACCCCACTGATGACGGCAGGACCCCCGTGGACATGGAGCTCTGCGCTGTCTTCACCGGTGAAGCTGTGAGGACCTGAAGGAAGACACTGTCCCTTTAGATCCATCGCAACCCTTGCAGATCAGTCCTTATTTTTTAAAACACATCAATACTTTTTTTTTAAATGTTGAAGGTGGAAATCATTCCCAATATTCATTAACTTCCAAAGCTGTGGTTTTTTTTCCCCATTTGTTTTATGAAAGACTTGTGCTTACTGTATGTAAGGGCAGAATTTTGGGGAGGCTGCTCTATTCGCTGTGTAATTAATTGACCGTTAATTTAGTTAAACGACAGAGACGCCGTTCGCACCAAACAGGATGGACCAGGCTGGAGGCTGCAGCCTCACGTTCTACACCGGGTGCGAGAACGGTGCGCATCTTCTGTTGTCTTGGCAGTAGCGACCAGACGGACCTGGAAACCACAGGACGAGCCCCCTGTCGAGCAGCTCCCTGGTGCGGGGGTCCGTGAGGTCGCGCAGGACGGCCGTCCTGGGGGCCGGGAGGCGCCGGTTCGGCCCCGCCAGGCTGCAGAGGGCCGAGGACGAGGAGGGGCCGCTGACGCGGATCACCGCCACGCCACACCTGCCGTGGCCCGAGGACAGAGCGAAGATGGTGTCGGCGTCGCCCATCGCGCTCAGGTACCTCCCCCCGCGGCTCCTGTCCGAGGGAGAGAGGGACACGGTGTCCAGCTGTTCTCACGGATACCGGCCGGGCGCAGGAGCGCAGCTCAGGGCAGCACTGGCCTCTCTCGGCCGTGATGCTCGCTGTACAGGTCAGGCATTCCCAGTGCTGGTGACCCACACACCTACTGGTTTTTGTTCCAGCTGATTCCAACGTTACACAATCAAACCCTTCCTTGACTCAATGATAATAATGTGAACCAGCTCTTAAACAGGTTGACGTTTGAACTGTAAACGGGATGAAATCCCAAACCTGTGGCTGGAAACAAAAGGCCGATATTCCAACTAAAGCAACTTTTTACATCAACTGAGACTTAAATTATCCAATGAAGGTGGGATGAAATAAAAACCAGCGGGCTCCAGCATCAGATGTGGGAACCGCTGACTTAGGTATTCAGTACGAACACATATACAGTATACAGTGTCCTGCACCTCGTCAGTTTCCCCTAGCCTGCACGGTCTAGCCCAGCAGTGAGCTCTGAAGTACCGCAACAAGCACTTCTGATTGCCTGTTTGTGGGATAATCTGTTAACAGTGACACTTTACTTAAAACTGCACCTTTGAACATAACATTTTGTCATACAGGACATTTAAAAAAAAAGCGAGGCTGATAAGGCTTTGTTATTTGTGAATGGAGGTGGAGGCTAAGAACTTAAACTTAACTTCGAACTGCTTTATTAAATTACGCGGTGGTTAGCTTTGAATCACGAGGTTAAATAGAAAAATAAGAAGCCCGAACAAACCTCAAACCCTTTGCAATAAAGGACTCCCAGGGTCTCCACAGAGCGCCAAGCATTATTTTGAACATTCTCCCTCATGGTAACATTACTGATATTTAGAAAAAAAATACTTTGACGGTTTATCGTTTAGCATTGCATTGTGCGTCGGTCTACTTAACGATGCACAAGCGACAAAAAATTACAGAAGAAGAGCACTTCGAAAGTATCTTAATTCCTAGTTCTTTCTTGTTGCACTTACAAAAAACATAAACTAGTTATCTTTCAATGTTCATAATTTCACGATTTGTACGATTAAGCGCTATTTTTCGCAGACTTTCTAAAGCTCTCCTTCGTTAAACACGTGGGTTGTTTGACATTTAAGCACCTCCCTTTTTAAACCCAATTGGTTGAAATCGGATCTCAACCCCCTTGGCGATCTCTGATTGGCTAGAATATTGTTTCTCGCCTACATCCGTATTCTTGCTGGATTGGATTGGTCAACGTCTTGTCAATCAAAACCAGAGAATTGTGTCACACTTCAACAGATATTTGCAAGTCATAGCTTTTCAAATTGTTATTTTTATTATAATATATTTAGGTCAATATTGGTTAAAAGGCATACAAAATCCATCACGTTTCATATTTGCTACTCTAATATATATTTTAAATTAACAGAACATTCTGCATTTTAATATTAAAATAGGCATTAAGATAACATTTTGGGTATAAATCTTCTTAATTTTGCTTTACTCTCAAAACAAATATCCCTTGTTCTTTGCGCGTACACACACAAAGAAAATAATCCACAGATTATCTGCTTTCTCCTGTAGCGTGTAGCGCCACACAGGTTTAAATTTCATTCCGGGCACGAGCTTTCAGGAACTTTGTTTACAAACACGGAGGTGACGAAATTCCTTTCGCTATGTTTTATGGGAAATGAAGTTTTATGTGATAATAGTAAAAAAAATACAGTACTCTAAAGATACACTTCGATTTCGTACCGCAGAGGTTTTACAAGACGTCAAGATTTAATTTAGCACCTGTAAATAAACCAGGGTATGATTAGCTCTGGTAGGGGCCAGATCGGATTTAGTGCCGACACACACGCTTGTAATGTAGACACGTTTTTTTTGTAGAAAATGACCTTGGCTTGTGTCACTGCGTTGACCGTGAACCATATAATTTATTTGCTGTGCGTTGTTTCCTCTGAATGGCTGAGGGTGGCGATTTTGTAATTATCTGGAGGACTAGGATGACTACACGTAGTGTTAATGCACGTTGATCGTTTCGAGTCGGAACACGATACTTCTGTAATATGTAACAATTGTTTCTGCAAATGAGGTGCATTCAGGGTAAGGAAGAAGAGCTTTTTTTAGTTTAGCTTATTTTCTTAATAAAACGTCTACAGTAGCTAACAGTCAGCTAATCAAAGACTTTTCATCACAGGTGTGAGACGAAACCATGAAAAAAGTCTGTTTTTTTAATGCAGAAACTCTTGTCCCAAAAGGAAGACAGAAAGGTGATAGAAAATTCAAATGAATGCGAACAATATTATAGTAAATGGATCTGAATACGCACCTCAAAGTGTGATTGCATTGATTTAGATGTCTACCTGTATTCAATGAATTGTACCACCAGACTATACTTGTCGGAAGCAATTTACAAATTACACCCAAAGATAAGAAAGCCATCTTGGAAAGTTTCGGACATTTTCTTAACTTTTGACTTGTTTAAACCAAGGGTGTTTTAATAATTATTTAATTATTATGAATGATTACAATATTACAAGGTCCTTGCATTTCAATAGCACTTTCCAACCTAAAGGATCCCAAATCCCAAACACAGCAGATCAGAAGATAAGAAAGAAGGTTACAAAGGTCTTTGCCATTTTAAGCTTCACAACTTAGATTCGTACTTGTGAATCTGTATCCACCGGAGAGTTCTGATCCTGTGCTGAATAGATTAACAGCAGATACACAGAATCTTGTTTCAAGACTCTCGTGTAATCTGATAAATCAAATATTTAAACCCCGCTTACAAACTGTAGCCTGCTCTTGGTTTTGCGATGCTGGGACACGGCTTTATTGTACTGTGCTGGACAGCGTGGCCAGTTTGACTGAAACGTGTGTATGAACCTCCTCAGCGGGAGTATGGCCATTTGTAAACCGAATAGATCCGTTCTGAGGTAATGTCTGCTAGTGTCATAAGAAAATACGTGCTTTGGTAAAATAGATCACGATTCCAAAGAGAACAGTTTTGCATCCTTCGGGAGTTTCGTGCAGGTCTTCCTCACACTTATTGTTTTCGCTCGCCTGAACAACAGGAGCATGCTAACATGCTTCTGGCTGTTTGAAGCTTAATAGAAAATCAGTTCTGCAGAACAGCTCGCACAGGTATAGATTTATACTATAGACATTCTTCATCGTCTTGCACTGTAGGCTGAGCGAATGTGTTACAGGATGCATGTTGTTGCGGGTCTGGGAACGCGATTGCATGCGAAGAATAAAGATAAGAATGCAAATCGGACACTAACAGGAAACGACAAAAAACAAGAGGTGCAAGATTAAAAGATTTAAAAAAGGGGGGCTGCCATGCTTATGATGTGCTCCTAAAAAGGGTCAAACGATGCGCGCGGAAGCCTCTTCACATTCACTCATATCTCTGATCAGATAACCGTCTTCTCAGATTCGTATCAGAGTACGTTTGTCATTTGGTTATACAGGATGTGAATGCAAGCCACTGTTACTGTCCGCTGTCAGTCAGTGGGATCAGGTAGCTTCTGTGTGAGTCAGGAGTTCACACACGGTGCTAATGTGCACTGCTGCGTCCTACTGCAGATCTCTGCAGCTGTTAGCCCAGAACTGGTGAGTAAGCATAATCCACACTGTAGCACGGCTGCTGGGTAGCTGTGCAGACAGCAATCCAGGAAACAAAGAAGCTGTTACAGCCTTAGGTGTTGCAGGGCCAGAGGGAATCCTTCCGATGTTCTTAATAATGTATACGTTGTGGTGCGCTCTTAGACAGCTGCCACCTTTAATGACGCATCACCCTGCGTCTCTCCGTCTTGATTTTCACATCGGTGTATCGCAAGCTTGCAGCCATGTTGCTGAAGAGAGCTCGGTGCAGGAATAACAAGGTTCGCCTCTAGTTGCTGTGTACAGCACAGCGGTGGGCACAGAACCTACTGACGACCATCTCCTCGCAGGCAGGCAGTGGATTCGAGTCGCCTTGTGTTACATGTTCGATTTTCCCCGCACCCCTAGGTTCTCCTAGGATAGAAAACTGGAAGGGCTTTGTAATTGCACGTGTTTGTAAAAAACAAAAACGACGACGGAGGCACATGACTTCCAGCGTAAAATGCTGAGGCTTGTAGCACATTGTAATTGATCAAAAACTGCTTCCCAACTCTATGAATCGCGACGTTTTTGATGTGACCTGCAAGTGAACGGTGCTTAGTTTCCCCCCACACACACACACACCAAAAAAACATTGTTCAAGTCAAACGGGAAGTAAAAGAAACGGGGGGAGAGAGACACTTTCATCACCCTGCTCGTCCCTGATTCTTCTTTTCTAGAAAGTAGAAAGGGGGACCGCTCTTCCCCTTCCCGTGCGCCTCTGACGTGGGCGTTGGAGGTCGAGGGAAAACCCCAGCCTCCATGGGTCACCTCTACATCTGCATCTCTACATTTCTGTAACAACGCGGATTCTCACGGCTGAGGCGCCTCTTTAAAAAAAAAAAAACAAATAAAAAAACTGAGACGATATTTTTACTTTGATAAATAAATCATATCACCCTTAATCCCCCAGGCAGTCTGGGCTCACTTCATTATTCTAGGCTGCTGTTGAGCTTTGAAGAGGTGTCCTACTGAATGAGCCGCCAGTCCCAGCGATCAGTGCCACAGATAAGCTCTTTCACGGGGAATAACTTCTCCTTACTGCCTAACAGTAAGTACGTTACTATCTACCACTTTATGGGTTTTTTTTAAATACTGTCTGAAGGGGTAAAAAAAACAAACGCGTAGATTATTTGCCTTGTTCTGCATGCCGGTTTGAGAGCTTTCAACCTGCAACATCCATGAAATCGTGGTGTGCTTTCCACCGCAAAACACGCATGTGTGGAAATAATCTAACAAGTACACACGCATCTGTCTGTTTCAACATGCATGTGTTTGTGAGTACATCGCCTACACCTCAGTCTGTAGTCTCTGTGGACCAGTACATAGTGAACAGATAGCGCTTGCTAGCGCTTGAAACCAGAATGCTTGCAGCACATTATTTCTGGGGGTCCATTATTCTAATAAGTGGAAGCAGTTGCTCATAGGTGAGGGATGACAGTTCTCTACTTGCGTAAACCGTTGAAGGACCTGGGAAATTTCGTCTCGGAAGGCGAGGGGAACCATGCGATTTTTCCCAGCGTCTGTGTGTGTGTGTGCGCGCCTCTGTCTCCGTATGTATGTGTACAAGCGTGTGTCCGTGAGCGCGTGTGCGGTGAGTGTGTGTGTGTGAGTGAAGCTCTCTCCCCCTTTTCTTTGTCCCTCCTCCGAAGTGAGACTCGCTCCGGAGCGCTCTCAGCCTGCACGCAGCCCGCTGCCACCAGGATGAGCCACGGCAACCTTCACTTCACTTTCACGTTCATTTAACCCCCCCCCGACCCGACCCGCTCCCCCCCCCCTTCCCCAGTCTTGCCTCTGCACCGAAACCCATGCAACCCTGACCCGCGGTACCGCACTCCCTTGTCCCGGCTTCACCAGCCACTGGCTCCCCGCGCGGAAGCGAGCATGCCCGAGACAGGAGCGGCGGCGGCGGCGGCGGCAGCCTCAGGCAGCACCGCGGACACAGAGAGCTCACGGCACAGACACCGAGCGCAGGCGGAGGGGGAGAAGACTGACCCCGCTGCTGCTTCCTCCGGGGTCCTGGGTGAGTCTCGGGAAACGAGAAAGGGGATGTAAATAGAGGTCGTGCGGGAGCCGTACATGTGTGGAAGGCGCACCACTCAGATGGATGCTGAGGTAGACGAGGAGCCAGTATATGACAATAGACACTACAGGATGTCCCGCTGCCCTTTTGTCTACTTGTGTTGTACAGTTGCGAAGCCCCTCCACCCTTATCCGAAGTGATTTCTCCGCGTTTAGCGGGCACTCTTGAAAATTAGGCGCTTGTGCAAGGAAGGTCATGCGAATTTGCAGTCCTGTCGGCGTCAAAAACACCGTTGAAGTTGAATCTAGCTACCACGTTTTCAGCAATTAAAACAGTTGGATCAGGTGGTCTGTGCTGACATCCTTGATATGAAATACGCTTTTTTTTTTTTTACTCGTTGTGCATTTGAACATTACTCCGTCTGCATATGCATTCTGCATACGAACCAGCGCGGTGTGTAACTTTTTCCAGTGAGACTGGAAGGTTATATTAGGATACATTGTTCAGCACTTCACTGAGCCGGTGCTGTCAGAGCGTCTTGTGCTATTTTGTTTTTTACCTCAAGACCTTAAAGTTTGAATGGGTTGCTTTGGCAACTCAAAATTAAACCGACGTAGAGCGCCGTATTCGACAAGGTTGCGTTTGTCTTCTTAATTCATGTATTTTGTTGTACCATGAACTGGGGAGTGAGGTGGGGGTGGGTGGGACTGCACTGACTTTTAAATACAGGCCCGGCACATTTCTACATCGGTAATTGGCTGCGTTTAATTATATTGGCTAATTGCTATACGTCGTCAGGATAATAGCGGGCTTCGCTCCGTTTGCTCGGCGGAGGGGGACGGAGCCGGAGCCGGAGCCGAAGCTGGAGCTGGAGCTCATTGCGGCTGCCTGGCGTGTCCGTGTCCGTGTGTGTGGAGTCGCTGAGTGCGCCTCTCCAGCTGTGGTGCAGGATGATGCAGTGTGGCGACTCGCAGCCTGTTGGAAGGCGGCCGGGGACGCGTTCTGTATGCAGGAGGTATGCAAGGTATCTCTTAGAGCACAGGAGCTCTTAAAGGTGTAATGTACCGTTAGAGGGGAAAACAAAAAAAAAACTTCACAAATTGCGACGCTTTTGCTCATTTATCATTGTTGGTTATTTCCTATCTCCGTGTTTTTGAATGCGTCCTTTTGTGACTGTGGAATAATTCTAGGCGTCTCTAGGCTCCCTATAACAAGGCCCGTCCCTCACTTGAGTTTATATACTTGTGTGTTATCGGCCGTTTGACTGAATCTTGTACTCTTTGGTGAGGAGTCGTTACTAACCTTTTGTGTTTGCTGATCTCTGTGATTTGTTCAGAATGCAATGACACGTTTATCATTTTTTTTTACGGTTTTTAAACTCACTTTTTTGTAGGACTATTTTGATCGTGAAATTAAATAGTAAGAGTGACTGGAAAGCGATGGATAACTTGTAAATCAGTTTTAAAGGCAGCGACATCGCTAAGAAAATAGCGGGCCTGTTTTCTGTATTTGTCTTTAATGTTTTTGAGTGTGGTGTTCTAGTTTCTTGGGGTCCCCAATTAGAAAAACAAGTCATTTAATGTTGTAGCGCCCTAGTAACCCGACAGAATAATTCAAGAGTTCTCTTTCCTTCCCACCGTGAGGAAACGGTTCAAAAACACGCAGTGTTTTTATTGGTGCTTTCTTGCAGGTAGGGATCCAGGGTTTGGGTCCAGACTGTGGAGCCTTCTGTGTGGAGTCTGCATGCTACCCCCCACATGTTCACTTGGTTACCTCACTCACATTTCACAGTGCTCTGGTTTCCTCCCACCCAGCAGAGACATGCCGTCTCTGTTTGTCCCTGTGTGCTGGTGTGTACCTTGTAATGGACTGGTCCCTGATGCTTCCAGGATAGTCCATGTTGCGCACCCCCTTACCAGAAATGAGCAGCTTTCTGATAAAGGGTGCATGCCTCCATTTGTGTCTCCAGGTTTGTTTCTTGAAGGCTGTAATAATACTGAACCCCAATTCACATATATTCACTGACTATCTGATTCTATATAGTGTAGCTGTGATCAGAGTTCTTTGTTGGTCTATTAAGGATTTTCTTTTAGGGGTGTCTGAAATTGTAGCTGTGTGTTTTATGTATTTCTTCTAATCCCAGTGCTTTAGGCTTGAAGGGCTTTGAGTTTGTGTCAGCTGAGCTCTTTTTTGAACAGTTGCTTAGCATTTCACTTGAATTAATTAATATAGGTGTGCCTTTCTTGAGAGAATATGTGATCCTGTTTGAATTCCCAGCAAAAGCTTTCAATATGAAGTTTAGCTTTGTTCTGTTGTATATGATCATTAGGGTCCACTGCAGTCATACTTCCTGGACAGCAATGGTGGTCGAGCACGGTTTTAGGTGCAGCATGTGTTGCTAGCAGAAACTGCAAGCTTTCTGAATGTTGGAAATGCCCCAGCAACATTTTGTTGTCTCATTTTTGGGGGCAGTGGGGCCACTGTAACAGTTTCTTTCTTATATCATTCATTCTTCTGGAAGCAATAAAGAGGCAAACAAAATGTTTGGATATGTAGCTGAACTACATTATTTAAATCATGAGATGTCATCTGTGTTGTATAGTTATGAGTAGTATAACCTTCTTTAGAGTATTGTGTGCTGTTGCGCTCACCACATTATTGAAAAGGATATAGCTGTTCAGGAATCAGTCTGGAGAAGGGCAAGCTGATACGTTTCAGTGTTTAAGGGACTGTTCTACACAGGTTCTACCACACACAATGTTCTACATAAACCCTAAAAACATCAGGGAAAATGACATGAATGCCTGGAACAGGAGACGCGTCCTTACACAAAAAAGTGATGGGAGGGTGGAACATGCTACCCAGCCATGTTGTTGAAGCTGATAACCTGGCTTCTTTCCTGGGATCAAAAAGCCATTATTTACTGAACAGCTGGATGGGCTGAATGAACTTGTTTGACAAAGTCTTTATGTTCATTTTAGCAGGATCTACTGCTTTAAAGATTCTGTGGTGTTCCTTGGAAGAGCTTCCTGCTGAGGTAGAAATAAAAAGAAAAAAACCACTAGATTATTGGGATTAGCTTCTAGTCTTGTTTCTTTTACCTGTTATTGGCACTGTTCTGTGATCTCTCATACATCTCCATTTCTGATAGCTGGGATGTGAGAACCCTCTTCCTATAGTGTCCTTCAGGCTGACTGTAAGACATTTTTCTGTAGGGTTAAATGATAAATAAGAAAAAGTCTGTCTTTACTGTATAGTTGTTTTAAGAACTGATTGCCAGTTTCTTTGCATTGGTTATGCAGGAAAGCAGCAGAGTAAATGTTATGAATATTTATCTGCTTATTAGTGATCTCCACGGATTAAGAGGTTATATCCCATCCCAGAGTGATGTTGTAGCAAGGAAGTGAACTTCTGAATTGTTTGCGTAATGTGAGTACTAAAGGTGTGTTAGAGACTACTGGTAATAAGACCTGTACTGCAGAACTGCTGCCTTTGCAGTACATAAAACCCAAAGGAGAGGCCAGTTTTAGCCCCCAACACATCTGCAAATCTCCTCTCCTGCCTCCATTTCCAGTATAATGTTGAGGCATGATTTATCTATACTTGTGCGCTACAGGGTCTTTCAATTTGTGGTGACCTTGTCCATAGTTATAAGACAGCTCTGCTGCTCTGTGTTAGCTTTAACTCTTTAACTGGATGGTTTCATGGCTTCAGGGCAAAGAAAGAGAGGCTGTTCTTCTGACACTCTCACCGATCTAAGATCTCAATCTCTTTTCAGTTTGAATACATGATGATTTTGGTATCAATGCTCAACTGCTGTCTAAATACTCTCTTTCTGCTTTGGCTGCGGTGGGAGAGTGAGTCTCCGAGTCCCCTGGTTCCCTTTCCTCCCTGGACAGAACATGTAGCAGCTGAGCTTGCTCACCTGCCCAGGAGGATCAGGCTCTGAGACCTGTTTTGGTTCTGCACAATGAGAAGCACCTCTTAGTAAACTCAGCCGCTGTTCACAACCACAGTTGGTGAAGGGCATGCATGTCCTGGATTTGAATCTGCAACCTCCGGGCTGAAACACTCTGCCCGAAATCCTAACCAGCCTTAGGAGGGATGAACTCGAATACCCAAAAGCTGTGTGATGGAGGTGGCTGTGACTCTGTTTTGTCCCAATGATCATACATTCTTCATCGTTCATGCCAGGATGGTGCCTCTCAGAGATCAGTTACCGCTTTAGTTTCGGTTCAAGACTGAACCATAAAACATTGCCGGCCCTCTTCTTCTGTTTGATGTCTGTAGGGAAGTTGCTAAGTGAGCTCATTAAAAATCAAGGTACCGGAGCGGAATGCTGTTTTTTGCCTGATTAGCATAGGATCTCCGTTTCAGTTCCTGCCTGGATGCCTTGGAGTTCATTCTTTGCTGGAGGACTGTGTCACAGGCCAGAGGACGCAAGCTCAATTTGTCTGTCTCATTTCATTAATTAGCCTCATCTGTGGCATTAAAACTGTCTCTTATAAAGAAGGAGTGCAGCGCATTGGCTTGTGTAGACACGTTTGTGCTTTTTTTATGGCTGACAGCAGCAGCGGTTTTGCATTCAGGCACGATCAGATAGGTCTGGGATGCTGTCTGGAGGTTCTGGGCAAAAGGCTTGATGGGCTAATGGGAGTCCCCATAGTAATGTCTGCTTTTAAACGTCATGTGCTTTTCTCTGCTCCCCCAGCCTGCCTCTGCCTGAAAGATGAAAGATCTGAAGTGCAGTCTAGAGCTGGCGAACAGGGGCCAGACCACTGCGTGGATGCAGAAAGGCTAAAACAGACTTGTGCAGGCACCCAGACAGGTGAATCCATGTAAGAACACAGGTACCTGAACTTGTGTGAATACACACTGGAGTAGGGAAGGAGACACCATTGTGAATACATCACATGCATGTGTTAAGTTGAACTGTAAAGATTGTAAAGGCAAATAAATTCAAGTTAGAACCTCCTAATGATATTTTGCAACCAGTGTTA